TGTTCACTGGAAAATTTCTATCATCTTTTACTTTGAATGTTCTCACCATAAAGTTACACATGCAATGGGAAAGACAGAAGACAAAAGATAAAATTCTGTACAAGGAAGAGTTTTTCTTCTGTGAAAGAACAACACATTTTTGCTGATTCTATGCCTCATTCACCATTTCAGTTATTATTCTGGGATCAAGGCCTTCATTTGCCTTCTTTTACCAGTACTATCCATACCAATAATCAGTGGTATAATGATACATAGAGGCATTCCAGGTAAGCCTCACCGTATACTGTCTCATCTACTCTGGATAGTTCACCCCTGGAAAAAAACTGTAACAAAAAGTGAGGATGTCACATTGCAGGCAAACACCATGGCTGGACTACGGTTAATGCTGCTGATCTGTTCTCACATGTTATTAACGGGTGAGGTCCCAGTGCCCCTTAGAGCAGTATTTTCTGACTAGTCACTAGAGGGTTCTCAGAGAAACATGGAAGAGGGGGAGTATGTTTTTGACTCTTCCTATGATACTCTTCCCAAGCTCCAGCAATCTTCAGTCATGCAGCTCTTAAAAGCAGTTCTAATGACACCAGTGTGGTATTTTATCTCTGGCCCTAAATGTTCTTGGTTTTCCTATTAAAATTTTCATTTCACTCCTATCTGCATGAAATCATTGCCATTTTGCTTTCTCAGATATGATGTTCTGAAGTTCCAATACCCATGAACATCAAATTATGTATACTAAGTAAAAAAATACAGCTCAGATAAATAATCAAAAACTAGGGATTATGGAGAAATGGTGCAAGCCCCAAGACTCTGTTATCTTCTATGAAACTGGCAGGTAACTAGCTAAAAAAGTGTAAGTGTTTAAGAAACATTACTACATATTTTTCTGATTCTTTTAAAGAGGACTCATGCTCTTGCCGCTATAATACACGTAACAAAAAGCTATTCCAGACACTGCATGCATCTTATTTTTTTTAATGGCACAGTGAAAAGCATTCATTGCATGGCTGAAAAGGAGAAAATCTGCATCTATGTATGAAAGCAATCAATTCATTCCATCTGTAATGAGGTTTCTCCTGTCACTTCAGTTTGATTGTTTAACTTTACAATCACCTCCCATGCTGTTTGCAAAAAGAAAAAAGAAGAAAAAAGAAATAGAAAAGAACCAAAAGCTAAGCAAATCAACATGACTATGTTCAATCTCATCACTACCTGTTCTGAAAAATGTATTTGCATATTTATAATACTATATTACTACAGAGATGACAACCTTTAGTGGCAGCATATAAACCAGCAAGACACTGAGAGCTCAACTTTTTCCAGAAACACACTAGAAAATGGTTGTGCCCTCACACTGGGTACAATTCTCAGTGGTCATGGCTATGCTCAATACGTTGCACAGTACCTTCTCTATGATTTAAAAATACAGGGTAGTTCTTCAGCTAATAAAGACTTCAAGTATTAGCTACATTTTCGCATGCCAAACCAAGAGTAAGAAGTATTTAAAAGGCAGCAGCATCATCTGCTATGCCTATTGGATGGACTTGCACGTTTCATGACAGTGCTTGTTTTTCCTATCAGAATACTGTGTAGGATCTTTCTCCTGTTACGGAACACTAAATTTCTGTTGAGCCAGTGGTATTAACTTCAGCACAGAGATTTAAGTACTCACATTAGCCACTCTGGAAGAATCATGAGTTTTCCTTATACCCCAGATAACATTGTGCAGAACTGATGCAGTTATACTTTAGCATCTCTCCAATAATTTCTAACACAAATTTCTGTGACACGTACATTAGCTCTGTGGTATGTTGTGCAGAATTGGAGCTGTTCATAATATACATTTTAAGTAAGTTGCATTGCCTGTTCAAATCAATCTATCCTGTTCCCACGCTGTAAGCACAGTGGATACTCAGAAATCTCAAGTCACTCAACAAACATTCCCTGTGGCTCTGGAAGGAACAGCCTAAATACTTTAGTCTCTAAAATTTACCCATAGATTTCTTTAAAAAAAGATAAATTCTTAAAAGCAGATATATCTCCCTTGACAGAGTCAGCTTCCCAGACCAGGAGACTGCTCCTTCATAAGACAAAAATTACTGACTATGGCCAGAGTGGTTCACTGTTGAGCCAAGCACTTCCCTATTGTCATTTTGGCACTGAAAAACCTCGGATCAGTGGATGGGTTCTTTTTGAACACTTAAGCTCCTAGGGACTGAGGGCATAAATGTATTTAGTACTTTCCAGCAGAAATTCTGTTTCTGCTGTTCTGATGCAGCTCAGCATCCAGTTGCACTGGACTGGAGTAGAAAAGCACATATGCTTGTAGTTTGTCTAGGAACTATTATGGTTCAGCTTGAAGGAAATTCTAGTTTACAGAGAGAAATGACAGAGATTTTTCTTGAATATTCCTCCCAAAAGAAGATTAATCAGTCAATATACATAAGCTGATTTCTCATACGGTACAAAATAACCACAAAAAGCCTCCAGACTGCAGTAATTTGTATTTAAATCAGTAGAAAAGTACTGCATAAATGAGACTAGTTGGCTTGTTTTATGACAAGAAAACCATTTTAACCAGAGCAAGTTGTATTTTGCTTAGCAATGTAGCAACTCACACCATTACTTATGCTCACAGTCAAACTTATTTTCTCTACGTTTCACCAGTATCTCAAATTAGAACAGCCTCTCTGAAAGGGTAATTGTAATTATTACCCATCCCAAGATCATTCTCACACTCTTTTGCTTAGAACTGGTAACAATGATGTACACAGATCAGATAATTCCTATCTCATTGTAATTGCACAGGGATTCTGTTTTCTTTTGAGTCAGTAATGTCTAAATTGGATTAAGATAAGTCACTTATAAGCCCTTCTCTATAAAAGTTGTTTTCATGACTGCTATATTTAATGCCATTTTACCCTAGAACTTAATTTTTTACACTACTCTCATATGAATGAGTTTCCATGAAGTTCATACTCAACTCCAATTTATTCTTAAGGAATAAATACTCTATGAAGAGTTAAAAAATATACTCTGAATTTGTTTTTGGTGACATGCTCATGAATGAATGTAATAACAGTCACGCTAGAACTTTGCATTATCATGAGATGAAATTCAAATTATATGATCAGAAGAATGACCGATCTCAAAATCAGAAGACTTAATCTACCTAATAATATGTGTTCAAACATCTTTATACTCCTCTGTTTGGCCCACTGATGCTCTTGGCAATAATAATGTGAGTGGGTGGCTGAGAATAGAGCTGGTAGATGTGGTACTGATGCAAATTACTGATACTTAGCAGCACATGCATTCACTTATCCAGGGAAACTTTTTTATGACTCCACAAGTTAGCCAGAAGTAATTAAAATATTTTACTTGTCAGTACCTGAGAAAAAATCGGTAGTATATTCAAGATTTATTATCTTACAACTGCAACTGAATTGTCACTCTGGTCAATGTCACAAAGAAAATTCTGAACAAATGAAATACATTCCATGTGCCTAATTTGTCTGTTTTGTGGATTTTTTTCAATATTGCAATTGGCGACCTCATAATGCCTATGTGACTTCTGATACACATTATCAAGACCAAATAATGCCAACTCTAAAATCCTGATTAGTTTTTCCTTTATTCTGGCATATTATTGCTTTCATTATTTTAGCTACTGAGATGAATGACAGAGGCAACAGACAAGAAACCAAAATACTGCTCAAAATTACTGAAGGCCATATACAGTCAAAATATAGTGAAATTAGCAGTCATTATTTCTGTGTTGACTGCTGTTCTACAGAATGTAAAGGCAGACATTACAATACAAATAGTACTTGTTCTTTGGATCAGAATATATGTGATGTTTCCTTAATGTCCTGGTTTGGGCTAGGATAGTTAATTTTCTTCCTAGAGGCTGGTACCCTGTTGTGTTTGGGATTTAGTAGGAGAGTACTATTGACAACAAACTAATGTTTTGGTTGTTGTTAAGTAGTGCTTAGCCAAGGACTTTTCAGTTTCCCATGTTCTGCCAGCGAGGAGCTGCACAAGAAGCTGGGAGGGAGCACAGTCAGGACCCAAACTGGCCAAAGGGATATTCCATACCACACAACATCATGCTCAGTATATAAATTGGGAGGAGGCAGCTGAAGGGCAACAACACTTACCTGCAAATTATTACTCAGGTGTATTGACCAGGCTGTGATTCCTAAATTTTTTTTGTTTTTTTCTTTTATCTACAGCGTATTTTATTACACATTTAAGCAAAAACCCCACTTTTTTATCTTATTTTAAAACTATGCCCTGGATAAATAGTCAATATTCTTAAAAAATCCCATCTCTAAAGTAACAGAAAAAAAGAGAAAACTTATTTATGTACACCAATATTACAGTAGTAATATATACAAGCTGTACTTTCTCAGGAGAAACAGACTTGTCTCAGAACAAACTGACTTTAAGCTGGTTTCTCTTTTAGGTGAATTATTTAAATAATAAATATAATGGCCAGTCTTCGCGAGCGAAGATCCGGGGAAGGTCTTTCCACCTTCCAGCCTGCGCATTGGATTTTTTAGGTGAGACACAGTGTGCGCGGAACTGAGCCCACCCTTTAATCCTAAGGTTCATCTGCCGGGGCCAAGCGAGCTTGGACAGTGGCAGCGAGGTCCTTAGGACGTAGGTGGGTTGCCTTTAAGGGCTAACGAGCCCCACCTGCCCGGGAGTGGCCCTGACCGGGAATCGAACCCGGGTCTCCGCGGTGATAGCGCGGCGCCTTTACCACTAGACCAACGATGGTAATATAGCAACTGTGGAGGTCTGAGCAAGGTTGGTATAGTAAGAGAAAAATCATATTTAAGCAATCAATGTAACCTGGTAAAAAAAAACTAGCCTTGGAATCAGAGTCCATTATAGGCCTTTTAATGGAGTCTACTAAGTAGACAGGCAACCTAAGTGTAATACCTAAAGCAATGTAAGTTTTAACACTAATTGCAACCAGAATCCAGACACAGTACCTTAGCTTTATCCCTCATGGATCCTTTTCCCAGGATGGACATTTTTGCACCTGTTTCTTCTTGTAACCTCTTTAAAGAGTTTCCTCTTGGTCCAAGCAATTTCCCAACAAAATTGAACTATAAAGCAAATAAGAGAACTCTTTTAGACCAACATGTAATTTTCAAAAAAACGTAATAAATCTTTATAAACAAACTGATTAAAAAAGAAAATTTTACTTTCCTTTAAAAAAATACTTCTACTTAGCTCTGAGCCTAATTCACAGGATATAAGACTGGAGAACCAAGGTATCCTCTCATCTAGTGTGAAACACAGTAAAAGTATTCAAGGTTTATTTGAACCCCAGGAGGCTTCTCTCTAGGACTAATAGGCCAGTGGCTGCTTCGGTTTAGCAACTGCTAAACAAGAAATTTACTCATTACATGGTCTTGGTGAAATTCAGTGAATGCATAAGTTCTTTCCCAAGTCAGCTAGCTTTATTGGTAAGTAACATATTCTGAAAACTTAGGGCTTTACATGGATTTTTAGGAATTGATGCTTCGCACATTGAGTTTAAAATAATAAGCATTGTTTGTGTATCAGTTCAAATATCTGCTTTGCCAGTATCAGAACAAATCACAATCAACAGATCACAGTAGATATTAATGGGTACTTTCTGAGAGGATTTTGTAGAGCACTGAGCTTTGTCTGCCATGCTGCTAATATTCTTAAGCACCACAGACTTGGTGTGACACTTACAACACTGCTTTTTCTGTAGGAAGACATGTCTACATGAAAATCAGAGGACAGGAAAAAAAATAAATGAGGTGTTAATCTTCTGTCAACACAAACTACCAAAAAGGGGTGAGTTTATTCAGTAATTCGTTTATTCTGTAATGAACAGTCTCTTCAGTTCATTATTATTATTTCCAACATCTTTTAAAACTCTTCAGTATGTTGTCTTCGGAAGTTGACTGAGAATCATCAGCACTTGCTTAAGATGTTTCTAAATTATGTTCAAGTCTGAAGACGCAGTATTCTGGTCTGTCAACTTGCACCAAAAAATAAGCCCAGCCAAGGAAGAAGGAGTGTAACTGTATCAGGACTTCCTTGGGTTTTTTTCAGGAAAATAAACATGATAATAAGAAATACAAATCAGGAATATGCTGCTAACCAAAATACTCAAAAATGTCTAAACAGATGCTATATCTTGTTTTGCATTACCTTCTGTTTCAAAAATGAAAAAAAAAGGGAAAATATTCTTGTTTCCACTTTAGCCAGAAGAATGTAACAACATAAAATGCATCAGCTATGTTAGTAACAGCCAAACTCTGAATCACCCCAGATACTCCAAACCCAAAGTTGGCTTTCAGTCCAGTGTCTTAATTACAAATCACTTCCTTCAAATATTGGTTAGACTATCTAATAAGATCATATGTAACCACAGGAAAAACAAATACATAAGGTGAAATCTACCACCACCTAAACCAAAATGACTGATTTCTGCAAGATAACGTGTCTATAGAGGAAGTAGTAAGTGCATGCAAATCCAGTAAGCTTTGAAACTCCAAAACCAGCTTTTCAAACTTGAGTGCTTGTACTTTTTTCCAACTCTACCTGTTGATTTAATAAAAGTTATCAACTATTCAAAATGGGGTAGGATTTAGAGATGATGTGGCTATCAAAGTATCAACAATCCTATGTCTTCAAACTGTAGCTATGTATCTGCCAGGGAAAACTTGGCTTAGAAGAAGTTGTTGGCTTCAAATTGTTTATTAAATTTTGTATGAAAATAAAAGAAAGACTGAGAAAGAAACGTCAAGGACTGAATTTTGACTTTAATACTAGACTGTAGACTTAATCTATTGATAGAAGTAAGATTTCAAAAATTACATATTCCATGTATGTGAAGGTTTACCAGAGATGGTTGAGAGAACAGCAAAGCTTTTGTTCCTCTGTAGGGACTCCCTTACATGCAGAATTGGGGGGTGTCACTTGTTACAACACAAAATCTTTTGTGCCAGTTATACTTCACCAATTAGGCAAGAACCATGTCCTACTGCATCCTTTTAGTGTCTCTTAGTATTAAGAAAAGCTGTCCCTCGAAATCTGAAAGAGCTATAACATTATGTAAGTTTGGAGGAAATTAGGAGGAGGTCAGCCAAAGCTCGACTATGTTTGTTCTCTGAATGGAATAAAACTATTAAAATACACTCTATGAAGATTTATGGTGACCATTTATGTTTAAGTACTTCATAAACTGTCTAATCATTACTTTGACATATTGCTGCAAAGGAGTGGTATGGCCAGCACAAACTATGTTATGTACTAAGTGGATTTTAATCACTTCACAGGAAATAAGTGGCTGGGGATTTTAATTCTATTGATTATACAGCAGACAGCACTCACATTTCATCCACTATCTACAAAACACATATCAGGAAGTGAGCAGTTATTTACAACTGAAAAACTGAATTGCTCTTAGTTTGTTTTTTTTTAAAGTTGAAGAGAAGCCAGGGCACTATAGCAGTCATTCTACTGTTGTGCTTGGTCTTACCAGGGGCCACTGGTTATCCTCAGTAACATCTATAAACACAAAATTCCCCAGACTCTTGAAACTACTGATAGAGCAAATTTGACTTAATAACTTGTGAAAAATTATATCCTTTATATTCACATACTGGTAAAACCAGCCCATAAGAAACAGAAAGTTTTAGTAAACAGCAGAAACTGTAAGAAATTTGAAACACAACTTCATTTCTTTTTTTTAATTAAGATATGTTGGACAAGAACCTGAGTAGAACCAGTTTTACTACTGGAAGTCTTAGGCTCCAGTTAGAGCCACACACAGGCACACACAACCAACAGAGACAGTGAAGGAAAATATGGAAACTCAGGCAGTTTTACTGCATTTAATGATGAGCCTTTCCCACGAACACATTTCTGGTACAGCAGCTGTGACTGCAGATCTTACAAAGCAATCTCAGTTCAAATCCAGTTCTGCCATGTGTACAAATTTTCTCCAAATAATAGTGGCTCTAAGTCTCTGGGACAATATCTGGTCATATTAGGACAGGATAGGTGAGAAATGCTGATATATAGAAGAGAGAGTATTAACGGAAAGCTTTCATTGCTGGGGAGCAAACAGACTTCCATCTGAAAAATATGGTTATTGTTGTGATACTAGATGCTTTTATAAGAGACTTAACTTTTAAATCTTGTTTATGAACATGAGCTAGACTTTCTATCTGCTTGCAGAAGCCCTTCCTGGTTTATGAAAAAGATTTTGTACATAATTTTCTTAGATTTTTCTATAATTTGTCTGGGTGAGATGATACATGTCTTCAGGAGAAAATGATTAGATGAAAGCAGGAGATGCTTCACTTATAATCAAATGCGCATGTTGTTTCATGTGTCAACAACTGTGCAATGAACCTCTTCTCCTGTGTGAAATAAAACCTGACAGACAACATAGCTCAGTAAGTCTTACCAGTATCTACAGTCAGTCTCCCCAACATCTTCCCCAACCAATATATACACACAGACTCACTAGATTTATCTGCATCCTGATTACTTTCACACTTCACTCCGTACAAGCTGTAAAGGTACCCAAAGCCAACACTCTGGCTTCTCAGTTTTCATCCAAGTTCTGTTCATAAAACTTTTTTTTTGTTTTGTAATACCACACAAAAATAGCCAAAAGTTATACTGCACATGTGGAAACATAGAAATTCCTCTCCTTCCTCTAACTGTGTTGTTCCTATCTGTCTGGACAGCTTTGTATTTACACATGAAGAAAACTTACTGACAGGGTGAGACGCTCCATTCAACTGTATATGCTAGGGATGAATACTTAAAACCAAGGATTTAGATACCCAAAAAGTATACAGAACATGGAGAAGTTTTAAGAACTAATTACATGAAATTTCTTACAATAAAAACCTGCCTATGTTAGGCAAAAACTTAGTGTTGTGCTCCATGCATGAATACATACATAATCACAGACTTGTTCATCATTAAACCCCCTTGCAATAAAACAGACTGCACATCAACACACCTCACTTGTTCTGGGCTAAGACACTGAGAAAAGAATCTCTAAAAGTAACCAGGTATTGTTAAGCTGGACCACAGGATGGGCAGTCTGTCTCTCAATGTCAATGTACCATACATGGTTTTTACGAACTGCCAGAGATTAATTATAACCTGTGCTGTGAACAAAATGTATGCATTAACCAGTTCTTAAAATATATCCTACATCTGACAACGTTATAATAGTCTGAAGTGTTCTGCAGCACCTCAAAAAGATCGTCACATGCATTTATTCTCATTGCCACGCTTGAACTTAGCCCCTTTAATATGGGCGTGTCAAGTGTTGCTCTCAGAAGTCACAGTATCAGCAGAATGGTAGAATGGTTTGGGTTGGAGGGGATCTTAAAGCTATCTAATTCCAAACCCCTGCCATGGGCAGGGACACCTCTCACTAGACCAGGTTGTTCAAAGTCCCATCCAGTCCAGCCTTGAACACTTCCAGGGATGGGGCAGGCCCTACTTCTCTGGGTGACCTGTTTCAGTGCCTCACGACCTTCTCAGCAAAGGACATCCTAATGCCTAATCTAAACCTACTCTCTTTTAGTTTGAATCCATTCCTCCTCGTTCAGTCACTACATGCCCTTGTAAAAAGTCCCTCTCCACCTTTCTTGTAGGTTCCCTTCAGGTACTGGAAGGCTGCAATTATGTCACCCCGAAGCCTTCTTTTTTCCAGGCTGAACAAACCCAATTCTCTCAGCTTCTTCTCATATGAGAGATGGTCAAGCCCTCTAATCATCTTGGTGGCCCCTCAATGACCACAGAATTGAAATTAAAAACATACAAACATTTTCAAGTTGATATTTACATAACACTGATTTATATCATGTTGCAAATTCAGGGGAAAGTTTCTTCTGTCTTGCATGTTAAAGCAAATTGCATGTTAAAGCAAATTGTCCAGGAGACACGCACTGTGGGAGCTTCAACTTTGAAGTGGGCATCAAAGACAAACAGACACAGCTTCACTATTGTGTCCATGTTGTATGAAGGATGGGAAAACCAAAGATAGTGAACTTGTGCTGTAGATAAACTGTAGCTGCATTAGCAGATTTAA